CATGGAAAACTGGGTAAGTGTGGAGGTGTGCTGGGAGTTCTATGGTATAGGACGGTCCATCTTCGCCGCCCTTAACTTCTAAGACTGGCCACGGTCCTCTATAGGTGGGCAGTAACTTCTGCGAGATGTTTTCCTCAGGTGCAAACTCTTTAGAACTGACCCAGACTAAGTCGCCTACCTGGAACTGTGAGGGGCGACGATGCTTATTGGCGTGCTCTATCATCCTGTATTGGGCCTTCCTGAGGTTCTCTACAACAGTAGCTAGTTTTTTCTCGTGCTGTACCGCAAACTCCCTGGTTCGGGGTGGTAATCTGTGAATCTGATCCCGGTTGAGTCCCTCAAACGGCCTGCGCGGTCTAAAGGACTTGTGCAGTTCATTGGGAGTGCGGCAGGTGGACAAATGCATGCTGTTATTATACGCACTAGCTACTTTAGGCAACATCTCATCCCAGTTAATCTGATCTGGCCTAATGTACATGCGCATAACTTGTTGTAGGATCTTGTTCATCTGCTCTGTCTGACCGTTAGTCTCAGGATGGCGGCCAGACGACATCAACAACTTAGATCCGTACACTCCCATGAGTTCTTGCCAGTTCTGCCTGGTGAAGCGACTATCTTTATCGCTAACTATTGACAGTGGGATTCCATTCTCACTAACCCAACAGTCAAAGAATCTCTGTATCACTAAGTCAGTACGCGCCTCTGAAGGCAAAGGAACAAAAACTGCGTACTTGCTAAAACGGTCAACTATGACCATGACTTGGCTCTTACCATCCCCTATGTGTCCGAAATTGGATTTAACGCGGGTTTCGCGTTGAAAAATTCAACGCGCGTTGAATTCGCGTTAAACTCCCGTTCAAACGCGAGATGGACGCGAATTAACGGGGTCCGGGATGATGTTTTTCCTGGGCTAAAAATTATCCAAAAAAAAATATAAAAATATGGGGTTGTAGGTGTTGTTGAGGACTACAACCCTGTATTTTTATTTTTATTTTTTGGTGCTTAAATCTATTTTTTAAAAATCAGAAACATAAACACACAATGAAAAAACAAGAACTAAAATGAAATGAGTGTTTTTGTTTTGGGTTTCTCACACTTTCAGATTTTTTAAGGGCTATATATATATATATATATATATATATATATATATAGGGTTGTAGATCTTTCAAAGATGTACAACAAATTATTTTTTATTTTATTTTTTTGGAACTTCGTGTATTTAAAAAAAAATCAAAACCATAAAAAGCAAATTAAAAAAAGGAAAAAAGACACACACACACACACAAATTGGGCCTGTAGCAGGTTGCATGAGTCTCCGGTCAGTTGGTTGAGGGAACCCAGGTCCTGGGCCACCCGTGTGAATGTATGGAGAGCAGGCCCTGGGCTGGATACGGGTTCAGGGCCAAACACAGGCCAAAGGCAGTTGGGGGCATGCAACCACCTCAGGCCCAAGGCCTGTTCTCGTTCGTGTTGTGCCTCAGGCTACCGGGGCCTACTGGAAGCTTCCTGGGACTGAACACAGGCAGGCCACTTCGATATAGCAAAGTGCCTGCCTCCGCATTGGGCATTCAGGTGCTGGTTGCATGCTGCGTAAGCGCTGCCGCGCTGTAGCTCGTGCCACTCACGCGCTCACGGGCGAGCAGGAAGGAGCAGGCAGCCATAGCCGAGCTGCGCTGCTGTAAGCTGGGTGTTTCGCAGGGTGGTCCTTGGGTGCAAGTGGAATCTGTGTGTTGGGGAACGAGGTTGCTAGTAAGGCGAGACACACTCTCACGCGCAGGCACAAACACACTTACACTTACACACACACACACACATACACACACACACTTACAAACACACACATACACAAACACGCACTTACACATACACATTCATGCGCAGAAACGCTCTCACGACAGGCACACACATACACAGATACACGCACACACAACACACCTACACACACATAACTGCGGTGTTGGGGGATGTGGGGGCGGATGGGAGGTGCTTCAGGGGTTGGGGGAATCTTTTATTATTATTATTATTTATTTATTTTTGCCTAGGGCCACGTGTTCCGGACCCCGCGCATCAATTCCGTTTTTCCGAAAAGCGCGGGAGCGACCCATTTTCGCGTTTAACGCGAATTCAACGGGATTTTTTGGAGTTTCACGGGATTCAACAGGAGTTTAATTCCCTCGTTCTGCGTTAAAAAGATACATAGACCATGCCTACTCTTGACTTGGGTGTCCATGAAGTCGATGGACACTGAGTCTCCCGGCTGATCCGGAATGGGCAAGGGTCTGAGAAGACCTAGCGGGGCGCGCGTAGAACTCTTGTTACGCTGGCAGACTTTGCAACTGCGAACATACTCTACGCAGTCATTCCTCATTCCTGGCCAGGTATATGCGCGCATCAGATTGGCTAAAGTCTTTTGCCAACCAAAATGACCCTCTGTGTCGTGGCATTCTCCCAAAATCAGGCTACGGACCTCTTCACTACTGGGAATGCACAGGCGGTCAAATACATTAGTCTTCTTAAAAAGCAACCCTTCAGTAGTGCGGTAGTTCGGTTCGGTCTTTGGGGCCTCCTTGACCTTCTTAAGGAGGTCACTGTAGGTAGGGTCCTGTGCATAGGCTTCTCTAATCTTCTACTGCAAATCCTTCCCTATTTCTAAGTAATGTACTATTGCCCCAAAGTAATCAACTCTCCTACTCAGAGCATCCGCAACTACGTTATACTTCCCCTTGACTGGCTTGAGCTCAAAGTCGTACTGATCTATCTCTACGGCCCACCTAGTAAGCTTAGGTGTCATCTTGGCCTGCGCCTTTAACCATCTTAATGTCTCATGATCGGAATAGACTTTGAAGTGTCTCCCAAGCAAGTAGTGCTTCCAATGTTCTAAGGCTTGCCTGAGAGCGCAGAGTTCCCTCTCATAGGTAGATGTCGCAACCTTCTCTGAAGGCATTCTGGCGGACATGAACTCTACGGGTCTATAACCATTGCCATCGTCTTGCTGCAACACCGCGCCTATGTCGTACTGACTAGCATCCGTAGTGACGACAAAAGGCAAGGACGGATCGGCTACCTTAAGGACCGGATACTCTATCAATGCCTGCTTCAATTTCTTCATGGCAGACGTACAGTCCTTGTCCCACTTTCAGATGGTCTCCTTCCTCAACAATCTGTGAAGGGGCGCAGCGATGGTGGAGAAGTTCCTCACGAACTTCCTGTAATAGTTAGCTAAGCCCAGGAACGAGTGCAACTCTGTCAGCGTGCGCGGCGTGGGCCAATCTCTAATCGCTGCGATTTTACAATCTTCTGGTTTAACGCCATCTCCGTCTAAGACGTGGCCTAGGATAAAACTTGGGTCTTTTCCCAATCGCACTTCTTTGCATTGATCTTGAAGTTAGCTTCCCTCAGTTTCTCCAAGACCTACCTGAGATGACCCTGATGTTCTTGGAGGGTCTTGCTAAACACTAAAATATCATTTAAGTAAACAACAACAAATCTATCTAACCAAGGCCTAAACAAATCGTTCATACAACGCTGGAACGTAGCTGGCGCATTGGTTAGTCCAAAGGGCATCACTATGAACTCATAGTGCCCATATCTAGTCCGGAAGGCGGTCTTATACTGATCATCAGGATGCACTTCTATCTAATGATATCCGGACTTCAAATCTATCTTGGAAATATACTTCACCCCCTGCACTCGATCTAAGAGATCGTCTATCCTAGGCAGTGGCTCAACATTCTTAACTGAAATAGCATTCAGACCCCTATAGTCTATACACATTCTTAACTCTCCCTCTTTCTTAGGGACAAAGAGAACAGGCGCTCCAAAAGGAGACGAACTGGGCTTAATCCAACCCTTCTCGAGGAGCTCGTCTAATTGCTTGCGAAACTCCTCTAACTCCCGTGGGGACATCCTATACACAGCACCCTTAGGAGTTCTACTGCCAGGCTCTATCTGGATACGGTGATGGATGGGCCGCGGCACCGTGCCTATTGGCGGCTTAGTTAAATCCTTAAACTCTTCCAGCAGCTTGGCAATCGCAGGGTGCACCGACTTTTCTTCCGTAGGCTCAGTCACTGGCCTAACATAGGCAACAAAGATCTGTTCCTCCAATTTCTCCTTCTTTACTAACCTGGCGAATGCAGGCGCACTAAGGCAGCAATGTGCCAATGGATTCTCTACTCCTGACACGTGGAACAGGCGGGCAGTCTTAGCCTCGCCTGAAGAACTAGGGAGCCTACACTCGTGCTCCTTCAAATGGAGCGTGCCCCGGCTGCCTCTCCCCAATCCATCCCCAGAACAATATCAAATGGGAGGCTGTTTTCTACGAGGAGAGTCGGGGAGTGGAGGGCCTTCTCCACTTTCCCATCCTGCTCTAGGCGGAAGTACGCCTGGACTCCCTTTACGTAATCCTCTACCCGCATCGTGCGATTATCCGCAAGGATACTGACTATAGGGTCTGCTAACTTCAGGACTTTAAGTCCCAGCTTCAACTTCTGCAGCGCCTTCCTACTAATATAGCTGCGGGTGGCCCCTGAGTCTACTAGGGCCCCTACTCTGCCTCTAAAAATCTCTTTATCTACTAATATAAGCTGCCCTTTATTTTCCTTTTTCAGGCGGACCTCCTCTCCTTCAACTCTTCGGCCACGCCTGTGAGGGAGGTGTCTAGAGAGACCCTAACACAAGCAGTCTCTGGGCAGCTATCTAGACACCGGCCTGCAACCTCTGCCATAGGCACATGTGGTATGGGAGTCTCCTATCGGCTAACGCTATGTTCCCCACATGGCCTAGTGGTAGGGGCAGTCGCTACCCCTACCGGCTGCTGCCTTTTGGCCCTTAGCAGCCGTTCGGGTCTCTCGATACTTAGGACAGTATTTGATGATATGGCCCGGGTCACCGAAGAAAATGCACTGGCCCCGGTCCAATCGTTGTTGCCATAGAGTCTGGTGCAGACCCAAAGTTTCCCAAGGCCTACCTTGTGGCAGCCCCGGGTGCCATCCTCCTACTCTATAGGGAGACCTGTTCCGAGGACGGTTTCGCGGGAAACCTTGACCCCTTCCTCCCGCTGGGCGTTTTTCTCCTCTGCCGCCAACCCTCTAGTCGCCCTGGAACCGGCTCCCTGAGGCCCGGCCCCCTTGGCCCTGACCTCGTCCTCCTCCTTGCGGCCTCCCTCCAGCCGTGACAGCAGCGTAAGTTCTCCCCTGGCCCACACCGCTGTCCTCCTCCTCTAACCCCCACTCAATCTGATCGTAGGGGATCTCGTCCACACTTCCCTCATCTAAGGTTAGGACAAGACTATCCTTAGTCTTCACTTGCCCAGAGATAGTGCGGCCCTTCCATTGCTTTCCCTTATCCAAATCTTTGTGCCAGAAGGTGGAGATCGACACAGACTTCTCAAAGGTCACCACTTCACGGCTAAGGGAATCGTAAGTGGTGGCAGGGTCTTCGCTCTTCGCGAAGAAGTGCCCGTGAAAGGCTTCTGGGATAGCTCTATAAAAAAGGGCAACCAATTGGGTGTCTGTAACTCCGTGGTCAGGGACAACTACTAGTTCGTCCATGGTGCTCTTGAGCACTCTGGCACTCTTCCACTTACGAGCATGGATCGTCTGGAGCTTGTCTGAGGCCTTGACACTTCGAGCGACATCTGCAAATCGCTCGCGCAACAATTTCATGAACTCAGTGAGGGAGGTAAATGATGAGTTTGCAACTGCATCATCATTGCAGTTGGCGGCGCGCATTAGGGACCTTGCAAAACTGGCGGCCTCATCTCTAAGCGCGTGGATCGCAATCAAGACATGCTGGTCCGGGGAGACCAGTTGCAGATGCATGTAGGTCTTGACGTTGGCCTCCCAGTTGTTAAAGTTCTCTTCCCGTTTTCCACTATAGGAATCAGGGAATTTGACTTTGACCGGCTCCCGGTGAGGGCGTGCTTCCTCCTCCTTGGGAGCTGTCGCCTTGACGCTTTCAATGGCACCAACACAAAACCGCTCAGTCTTGACGAGGCGATGGCCCACCTCGGCTCCTACAGCTCCCACCAATTCACGAGCAAAGTCCCGGAATCCCAACCGTATTGAACGCACAGCTATATGTTGACTCCTACTAAAGTCATACTGCTCGGCTTGGATTCGTGCTAAGCGTGCAACGTTTTTGGCTATGACCTCCATTTTCTTTGGGAGTTCAGTCTGGGTGGTTAATTGCTCTTTTATACTTTGAACCTCTTCTAATTCTTCTGCCGCCTCCGCTACCGCGTCTACTCTCCTCTTCTTCTCCCTCATCACCGCCAACTTCCACTCCATCCTCTTCTCATCTTCCAACGCTTGCCGTTTTATAAAATCTGCTTTTGCTTCCCATGCTCTCATGGCGGCTTCCTGGTCGTCCTTAGAGATATACATCGCCACCTCTTCTTCTTTACCCAGGGATAAGTTGGCGACCCACTCTGAGATCCGCTTCTCCATCTCATCATCTCTGCTGCCACTGTACTGGCCCCTCTTCCTTTGCAGTGGCGTTTCATCTTCCTCCTCTTCCTCGTCCACCTCTTTCAACTTCTCCTCTTCTTCTTTCTTTAACCTCTCCTTCTCTCTGGCCATCTCTTCCTCTATCTTTTTGGTGAGGGGGTAGGGGAGAGCCCTGCCCCGCGGGGGTTTCATTAGGAGGGAGGTGGAATCCTGAAGGGGGTATAGCCAGATTGTGAGGAATACTCTTTTCTGGGGTTGGGCATCAAATCCCAGCGGGGGCAGATTAGAGTAAAGGGATAGATAGGGTAATAGAGAGAATGAAGGTGTGCTGAAATTCTTGGCTATCATCATCTGATTATTGTTATATTAAGCTTTTGGGTGTTTTGAAATTCTGGCTGCATTTCGTATTCTTCCACATCCGGGATATAGGTTTTCAGAGATGGTTGAACCTGGACTGATATCTTCTGAGTTGCTCTGTTTTGTGCCCTTGGTTTGTCGATGCCAGAATGACGCTGGCCGGAGCTGGGGCGTTGCCCTGTAACCTGTAAATAGCAGGAGTGTGAGGCCTTGTAGAGAGATCTGGGGTTTGCTGAGGGTGGAAGGCATTCCAGTGGTGAACCGGGGGGGGCTGAAAGGAGGCGAGAAGAGATCAGCTATGGTTGATGTTGGTCAGGTTGTTTCTGTCTCTGTAGTATAGTGTCCTGGTACAGGGAGGGCTAGGAGTTGTACTGGGATTAGGAGCCCATAATAGCTGATATAGCATCATCATCATCATCATCAACATCATCATCATCATCATCATCATCATCATCACACCATTAGTTTCATCATTTGATTATTGTTATATTAAGCCTTTTGGTGTTCTGAAGTTTTGGTATCATCTAGCATTCTTCCACATTCGGATATAGGACTTCAGAGATGCTTGAACCTGGACTGATTTCAGCTGAGTTGCTCTGTTCTGTGCCCTTGGTTTGCCGATGCCAAAACGACGCTGGCCGGAGCTGGGGCGTTCCCCTGTAACCTATTAATAGCAGGAGCGTGAGGCCTTGTAGAGAGATCTGGGGTTTGCTGAGGGTGGAAGGCAGTCTAGTGGTGAACCGAGGGAGGCTGCAATGAAGCGAGAAGAGATCAGCTATGGTTGACAATTAGTTAGGTTTGCTTTGTCTTTGAGGTACAGTGTCCTGGTGTAGGGAGGGATAGGAGTGGTTCAAGGATTAGGAGGCCAGAATAGTTGATATAGCATATTTTTCTTTAATTTTTCATATTTTTGAATCATCATTCTCATTAGCATCATTATCTAGGGTGTTATCAGTGTCATTAGTATCATCATGGTCATCATTAGCGGTTTCCGTATGTTCATTCCGGGCAGACTGTGAGGACCCCGGCCTCAATCTTATTATTGGTAATATCGGTCTTGGGCACTGGGCCCGTTTAAAAAAAAAAA